AATTGAAATAATAACACCTCTTAGTACCTAAGGTTTTACCTATCATATGTAAATTATACAATAGAAATTTAATATTAACTAATTGTAATTCCCTAAGGGACATATTCATATAAAGTAGTAATTATATACACAAGTAATAAAACAACCCAACTAACCGAGGGAGATGATAAGTATTTATGACAAAAATTTTGTTGAGACTACAACCTATCCTGCTGCCTTGTAGGATATGCCTATGTTGTAACATAGTCCTGCTGCCTTGTAGGATATGCCTATCCTGCTGCCTTGTAGGATATGCCTGTCCTGCTGCCTTGTAGAATATGGCTTGTAGGATATGCCTAACATGTCCTGATATGTTATCTTTGTAGGATATGCCTTGTAGGATATGCCTAACATGTCCTGCTGCCTTGTAGGATTTGCCTTTTTAGGCAAAGGCTAAGAGATGCAAACTCCGACATAAAACACCCCCTGCCTTGGGGCTCTTGGTTGAGTAAAGGCTAGAGATGGTGTCTCGATAAAAATACTCATCTTGGGCAGATGTTAAATGCATCCGGCTGCTGTCTTGTAGAAGGCCTTCTAGGCATAGACTTAAGGGGTAATCAGATTCTGTCTGTTGACCAGCCTCGCACCCCTTCTTCATCTATTAGGCTAGTGCAGATGTATTTTTAATACATTGTTTCCAGTTTAGGATGTTGAACGCTGGATCTTCTTGACTCGATTCATGGGTTTTGCTTGTGTCTCTGTTTTTATAACTAGGCAACTCATTCTATTATCTCCAAATGAGGGTACAGCTCTAAAACTCAGTTTTATGGTTCTGAGGCGGGCTGGTAGTCAGGTTTCTCGAATTCTGTGGTAGCTCTCAGAGGGGCTGATTCCATCAACAGCTGAAAAATATCAGAGTACTAACAGTGCCATGTTGCGCATGGATGGTGTCCCTGTTTGTACTTTTGGTGTGCATTGCCAAGGCCACATTGGAGCCCTTTGTTACAGCTTAGGGTTTATTAGTGGAAATGAGGCAATTGCTTGAGCTATAAAACAGCGTACTGAGTACTATCTATGTTTCGAGTCAAGTTCTTTAACAAATTTAAAAATGAATAAAGTAACAAAAACTATAAAACACAAAAAACCAAAGTCATCACCAAGTTCGCTAAACCTATCATTCACCAATATTCGTGGTCTTTGAAATAACTTTTCTTCTGTTGAGTCTTATCTCTTGCAAAGTTCACCAGACCTATTTGCTCTTTGTGAGACTAATTTGAGTTCAGCTGTCTCATCTTGTGATCTTAGTGTTGATGGTTATCTTCCTTTAATTCGTAAAGACTCCAATAGTCACATGCTTGGCCTAGGCATTAACATTCGTAAGAATTCACCCATTTGTCGGGAAACTAGGTTTGAATCCACAGACTACTCTTTTATGTGCTTTCGTTTAGCACCACTTCACTCTATCACCTATCTCTTTGTTCTATACCGCTCTGCTTCATCTCAAGACTGCACTCTTCTTGATGTTATTTCTGATTATATTGACCAAGCCCTCATTCTTTATCCATCAGCCAATATTGCTGTTGTCAGTGACTTTAATGTTCATCACACTGAATGGCTTGGCTCTAGTGTCAGTGACTCTGCAGGCATTAAGGCCCACAACCTTTGTCTTTCTCAATCCATAACTCAAATATTCAACTTTCCAACTCGCTTTCCAGACAACCTAAATCATTTACCTTCTCTACTCAACTTATGTCTTGTTTCTGATCCTAATCAGTGCTCAGTTTCTTCACACTTACCCTTAGGTGCTTCTGATTATGGTTTGGTCTCTCTAAAACTATTATCTCATTCTTCTTTACCATCAGAATCCCCCTATCATCGTACATCTTACAACTACCTTAAAGCTGATTGGGACTCTTTCCGTGATTTTCTTCGTGATGGCCCCTGGGTAGAAATTTTTTGTCTTCCTGTTGACAAATGTGCTTCTTACATAACTTCGTGGATTCAGGCTGGCATGGCAATCCTTTATTCCCTGTCGACAATTCCAGATCAAGCCTCACTCTTCTCCATGGTTTTCTTCACATTGTGCTGCTGCAATTGCCAATCGAAACCATTACTTCCATATCTATCAGCAAAACAATTCTCCAGAAAACAGACGTCTGTTTATTACTGCTAGGAACCATTGTAAAAAGGTTTTGTCTAACACTAAAGCACGCTATTCTCAGATCATGAAATCTCGTATTTCATCACAAAAATTAGGCTCTCGTAACTTCTGGAGAATCTTTAATAGTATCAATAATAAGAGCAAGTCTGTAATTCCACCTCTTTTGTATGGTTCAGACTTTGTCACCTCATCTAAAGACAAAGCTGAATTGTTTGCCAAGAACTTTTCATCAATATGATCTCTTGATGCCACTAGTTGCATTCTGCCTGATATAGTCGTCAAACAGGTTGATCCATTGCTCGACATACATATCACTCCAGCTTCTGTATCTAAAGTGATTTCCCGCTTAGACTCTTCTACAGCTTGCGGCCCGGACAACATACCTGTTATAGTCTTGCAGAAGTGTTCTCCGGAGCTGTCGCCTATCCTTTCAAAACTATTTAACAAGTGCTTATCAGAGTCTTGTTTTCCAGCCTGCTGGAAAGCAGCATCTGTTATCCCTATTTTTAAAAATTCTGGAGAGCGATCCGATTTGTCTAACTACCGTCCCATTAGTCTTCTTCCTATCATAAGCAAGTTTTTTGAATCTTTAATTAACAAACACCTAATCTCTCATCTCAAATCTCATAAGCTACTTTCTGATCAATATGGATTTCGATCATCTCGTTCTACGGCTGATTTGGTATATCCTCCATAAGCTTTCTTCTTACGGTGTATCTGGAAACATCTTTAAGATTATTGAATCCTTCCTTTCCAATCGTAGTATAAAAGTTGTTCTTGATGGACAGCACTCTACTTCTTATTCTGTAACCTCAGGGGTTCCCCAAGGTTCAATCCTTGGCCCTATACTCTTTTTAATTTACATTAACGATCTTCCAGATATTCTCACATCTAAGGTGGCATTGTTCGCTGATGATACTATCATTTATTCTTGTCACGATAAGAAGCCAACTCCCTCTGATTGCTTGCAGGGGGCATCTGAGCTTGAAAAGGATCTCACTTCTGCTACAGCATGGGGCTCACAGTGGCTGGTGAACTTTAATTCAGATAAAACTCAATTTTTTTCGACCAATCGTTACCGCAATAGTTTAGACCTTCCTATATTTATGAACGGTAATGTACTCGATGAGTCATCTACCCTTTATCTTCTAGAATTAACTCTTAGTTCTGATCTTTCTTGGAAACCTTATATTAAATCCGTTGCAAAATTAGCATCTGCTAAAGTTGTTTCTTTTTATCGAGCTCGCCACTTTCTTACTCTGGATTCTATTCTCTATAAATCTCTATAAATCTCAAATATAAATCTCTATAAATCTCAAATCCGGCCTTGTATGGAATACTGTTGCCATATCTGGGGCAGATCTTCTAATGATGCCCTTTCTCTTTTAGACAAGGTGCAAAAACGCATTGTAAACATAGTTGGACCTGCTCTTGCAGCCAACCTTCAACCTCTGTCACATCGTAGTAATGTTGCTTCTTTTTCTCTTTTCTACAAATACTATAATGGGCTCTGCTTGAAAGAGCTAGCGTCTCTTGTGCCATCTACTAAAGTTCATTCTCGTGTTACTGGTCATTCAATTAAGTCTCATCCTTTTTCTGTTACTGTTGTGTTCCTAAGTGCTCCAAAAACTCTTATTCGTCTAGTTTTTTTCCTCGAACATCAGTTTTTTGGAATTCACTTTCTTCATCTTGCTTCATATCTCGCTTCCTTCATCCTGATTCATATAATTTGCAATCTTTTAAGTGGTTTGTCAATCGTTATCTTGCTCTACAATCTTCATCTTTTCTCTTCCAGTAACTTCCAACACTAATTAGTGGTTGCTTGCAGCCTTGTTGGAAGCGAAGATAATTTGAAAAAAAAAAAAAAAACCTGAAGTGGAGTTTAGGTGATAAATAACTTTAGGTAACAGAAGCAGGAGTGATTAGAATGTCTAACAATAGGTGAACTCTATGAGTCTTAGCATCAAATATTACTTTTTCCATGCTTGACTTTAAACAACAAAAAAAAAAAGAAATCCAGGATTATAAAGAGAACATAATTTTTAACAAAGATGAAAGAAATCAGAGGCTAGGCTAGTGCTATTCGTAACAATAAAGACATCATTTTGACCACAATTGCCAGCTTTTTTAAGGAGATAAAAGACAAAATGAAACAATAATGCAAGTAAAAAAAGGTTCAAAAATTGTATAAAACTAGTTAGTCACTATCATATATTTCATCAATCTTTAAAGTAAGAAATGTAATAATAGAGCAAACCTAATGTATAACAAGTATGAGATAGAGGTTTTAGTGAGATTGAAACCAGAACCACTTAAAGGAGAATAAGAAAAAAACTGAGCACAAGCTCAAGTCAAAAACAAGAGATATTTAAAAGGAGAACAATAAAGAACAAAAAGAAATAAGATTGAGTGAAGAGGTTTTTTAAAAGCACATAAATAGTTAGAGGATTCAAACCTAACTTTACAACAAATAGGTGAGTTGATACATAAGTATATGCCTAGACCAAGCATGTGACTAATAAAGTTTGTGAAAACAACAAAGGATAATAGCCATCAAAAAATCCAAAGATTTCAACATCAAGACACCTACTACAGATTGAAGGAGTGGATACTTTTTATCAATCATCTACTACAGTTGTTATTAGTGAATTGCACTGGATATCACACTGAATGGCTTAGCTTTACTACTCAATAATTTCAAAAGAATGAGTTTGAATCTGTTGAGTTGCTACTCTAAATAATGCCATTTAACCTCTTTGTAATTTAAAATGCTTTTTTTTTTGAGTATTTTTAGATTAACTTTTGTGGTATGACCAGTACAAAAACAATAAAACAAGTTAACAAATAATTTAAAATTTACCTTATATGTGTTTCCTAACAGCAACTATTCTTTTCAGACATTTTAAGAATCTTTTTTCTGATTATTTAATATAGTAATTTATTTCAAAGAATTTGTTACTATTGATTTTCTTTGAGACGCAAATTATTTTACTATAACTATTAAATTAAATGTATATTTGGTTTATTTATTTATCAGGAAAAAAACCCGCTATTTTTTAAAAAATAAAACTTGTATAACGGTCGATATTATTTAAGGTAAATGAGGATCAGACACTCATATTTGAGGTAAAATGGCCAGGACTTTAGAAACCATTTTTTAATGGCTCAGAATAAAAAATCAACAAAAAGTATTTGGTTATTAGAAATAATTTCTTTATTTGTTAAATTATTATTTTTGAATTGGAGAATTCAAATTCAGTATTAAAAATAAACGCTGAATTACTCGTAAGTTTTTAACATAGATAAAGATACAGCCAGGATGGTCTCATAGATATCAGGGGCCTTGTGTCAAATATAAAATCTGGCGCCCTCAATTAACTTTTTCTCTTATAAATAACAACACAAATATAAAAATCAGTTTTATTCATTGCATAAAATAAAACATTCATTTGAAAAGTGCAATACTCCTAGCGTTTCTAGAAACAAAATCATCAATCAACTCTTCGAATCTAATTTTTCCCAAATGCTTATGCTCGATCGCGTTCACCGCCAAGCCATCAAGTCTTTTCTGAGGTATTAAAGAACGCAAATACGACTTCAACAATTTCATTTTTAAAAAGCTTCGTTCTGCAGATGTAACTGTAACAGGAATAGTCAACAATATTCTATAAGCAATCGTCGCATTGGGTAAATAATCAAATTGCTTCAAAACTTTCAAAATCTCAATGGGTTCCATATTTTTTTGAGAAAGTAATTCTCTAAGCAATTTTAACTCCACGTGTAATTTATCTCCATCAATGTCAGATGTCAATTGTTTAAAATACAACAAAAACACCAACATTAAAATCTTCTTTGACAATTTATTTCAGCTCGGTATATTCTCACTAATTAACAAACCCACCCAAGTCAATTACAGCCTTCGATAATATACTGATCAACTCATTTTTAGACATATCCTTAAAAACAGGAATATTTAAAATTGATATATATCAGACCACTTTACAATATTCTTTTCACTTACACAAAACTCAGTGTCATTAAATAATTTAAAAATCAAAACATATAAAAGAAGAATTTAAAAATCTTCTATTCACGAATTTAAAGAAACCTTATCAAAAACAAATTGGTCAAATGTTTATCTACAATGCAACCGAGGACTTACAAATTCTGCTTATAAAATATTTATTGATACTTTTCTTAAGCACTACAACAAACACTTTCCAATTATTGAAAAAGAAATAAAAGTTAAATATTTGAGATGTCCATGGATAACAAGCGGAATAAAAAAATTGTCTAAGAAAAAACAAAAACTATACAATAAATATTTAAAAAATAGAAACGAAAAAATCTTACTGTTTATAAACAATAAAAAAACCTTTTTGAAAAAGTTAAAAAGAAATCTAAAAAAATGTGTTTTTCTAAACAATTACAAAAACACAATAGTAGTATTAAAAAAACATAGGAAATTATAAACGAAGTTATTGGAAAAACCAAAATTAAGTCCGAAATTTTACTCTCAGGAATTGAGGAAGATAGATTGGAGTATACAGATAAAAAAATTATTAAATTTATCGGAGATAAATTTAATAATTTTTTTGTAAATATTGGTCCTAAATTGGCATCCAAAATAAACAACTCGAACAATTTATTTAATAACTATTTTACTGATCATACTAGATCATTTTCTGAGAGTGACCTAAAATCTGAGAAATTTAAAGAAGAAACAAAATCAATTAAAAAAAAAAACAAAGCTCCGGGCATCGACGACATTTCTAGCAATGTAATATATGATATTTTATACATTTTAAAAGATCCTCTTTTAAAGGTTTTTTAAGTCATCAATTAGAACTGAAGTTGTTCTAAAAAAAAAAAAGTTAAAAATTGCGAAGGTTTTACCTATATTTAAAACTGGAGACACGGCCTTGCTAACCAATTATAGACTTATTCTATAATTGGTCAATTCTTCCAGTGTTTTCCAAACTCCTGGAAAGAATAATGTTCAACCGACTTTATAAATATTTAACAGCCAATAAAATTCTAAGTGAATATAAATATGGCTTTCAAAAAAATTGTTTTACGGAGCATGCAACCTTAAACCTAATGGACAACATTAGATCATCTTTTGATAAAGGAAAATTTGTATTGGGAATTTTTATTAATCTTACAAAAGCTTTCAATACTGTCAACGATAAAATTCTGTTCGACAAAATGAGAAAGCACGGTATAAAAAACCAAACTATCAAATGGTTTACTAATTATTTAAATAACAGACAACAATGTGTTATAATAGACGGTATCACTAATACAAAGTTATTAAAGATAAAATGTGGTGTCCCCCAGGGATCTATTCTTGTACCTATATTATTTCTTATCTACATTAACGATCTCCCTAAAGCCTCTACAAATATTGATTGTATAATTTTTGCAGATGATACCAATCTGTTTCATTCATCTACCTGTATCAATGACCTTTTTGATAAAGTCAACTTTGAGCTCCAAAAACTTAAAACATGGTTCAGTGCTAACATGTTATCATTAAACGCACAAAAAACTAAATATATTTTATTTCACTCAAAGAAACAGAAAAATAAACTACCATTAACTCTACCCTCACTAAGTATCGAACACAAAAAAATTACCCAAAAAAAGAACCCAAACAATTAAATTTCTTGGTTTGATTATTGACGAAAATGTTTCATGAATAGCCCATATAAATGCCATCAACACTAATATATCTAAAAGTATTGGTTTACTTTTTAAAGCTAGACCATTTTTATCACCTAAAACTTCTTTACTTTTCCTTTATACATAGTTATCTCACATATGCCAATATTGATTGGGGAAGCACACACAAGACAAAGTTACTGTCCCTTTATCGACGACAAAAACATGCCTCTAGAATAATACATCATAAGAACAAACTGACCCACGCTAAACCCCAATTAAAAGAAATGAAAGCGCTAAACATTTACCAAATTAATATCTATGCTAATATATTGTTCATGCTAAAATACAAATTAGGATTAGTTTCAAACCGATTTACAGAAAATTTCTTTCAATCTAATATCAACAAATTTTACACAAGAGCATTTATTGTACCCCGACATAAAAAGACATAAAAATTCACAATTTTTTATTTCCTACGGCGGCCCTTATTTATACAACAACTTAATTCCGAATCGTACCTTAATTTCTCTTGCTGACAATATAACTTCTTTAAAGTCAAAATTCAAAAATCATGTTTTCAATACAGATAATTACTTAGAAATGTTTTAGTACTAATGATAAATTAATATTTACGCTCACATTCAAACAATTAATCAAAAATGAAAATGTCTACATCAATAACATCTAAAATATTTGTTTTATGAGAATCATAATGCTTATATGTGTACTTTACGCAGTACTCCAAGGTTCTCGATGATAAGACTAATCTCAGTCTTCTACGAGTTTCGTACAACAGCCAAAACCCTTATCAAGTCATAGCATATTTAATTATTACTTCCTATGTTTATCTTAACGGTATTTTTTTAAACATTATTTTTTTGTATTGGAAGTATATTTTGTTTATGTTATAACAGTGTAAAAAAATTTTGTAATTAATATGTAGTTGTAAAAATTTAAATAATAAAAAAAATCTGACATTGATGGAGATGATCATCCTTCGTAAGTACATTCTGAAGATTTGTACAATGATTTTTTAGACTCTTATCCTCCAAAGAACGCAGCTTGTTTGCTGCTTGAATGCAGCTTGTCTGATCAAAAAACTAAAAATATTTTGATCCGTTATCATAACTTTGGCCTCTTACAATGTCTATATCAAGACCTAAAGCCTCCAATTCTTTCATCAAAACTTCAAACAACCCTTGCCCACTTGTGACTTTGACGTTCAGAAAAGATAAATACGATTCTTCCACAACAACATTATTTGAAGAAACAATCTTAAGATCAAATTCATTTGCTCTTCATGACTGCAAATAATTAGTTTCTTTTATCTCCTTGATAATTTTACATTTAATCTTAGAAGTCAACTTAAATATCAAACCCGAATGTTATGTCTAAGGTAATGAGAATGAAGTTCATCATTTGTAATGCACCTAACATGCTCTTGAACTACATGGTCAATCTTAGCCAACATCTCAATTAAAACCAAAAAGATTCGATTACTACTTTCATATAATTTCTCCTTGCTACCACTAAACGCTAGATTCTTTTTTGCAAGAAATTTCACCACTGAAACAACATAAATGTTCTTTTTCTTTCTCTAATTTTTTTTGTGCTGTTTTATCAATAGTTTGGCCCTGATTGAAATTTAAACGCAACTCATACCATGTAGCCCTGTTCTTCAAATGCTCCACACTTTTTTCATGTTCTGTTACTCTACTTGCAAATTGAGACCAATCCTCGAAACCATCTCATTCGACAATTTACCTATTCAAATCCCCTTTTTAAACACTTTGCAACAAAAACAAAACACTTTATCAAGCTTTTTTGAATACAAAAGCCATTCACTATCACACTGTTTTCGATTAGGAAATGTTTTACTGTAGAATGAAGGTAGGAGTCGTCTTTCAAATTTATCTATAGGGCCTTTCTCAATAGTTAAGTTTCCCTTAGAACCTTTAATCGCTAAGACATCAATCATTTTAGAATCTAAGACATCCCAATTTCTTGGATCATGTATATCAAGAGAAAAATCAGTATCATCAGAGTTGATCTCATAATCGACAAAAGGATTAACAACATCGTTCAAGTTAGGTTCATCATCGAAAATAGGATTATCAACATCGATCAAGGTAGGTTCAACATTGACAAAGTGATTTTAAAAATCATTGACTAAATCATTATCAATTTCATCATCGTGTAGAAACTTGAGATTCTTTGAATATAAACTTATCGAGAGCTCCTCGTTGAGAATTTTGTAGCTCTTCACTTTTCATTTAACTCTTGGCTATAATTAAAATCAATAATTCTTCCCCTTATAAGAAATAAATAAATGGGTTCAAAAGCAAACTTAAAAACACACAAAAAAAAAATGAAACCAAACATAAAAAATCA